TTACCTTGTATGATAAGAATGAGTCCTAAAGTATCAGTGTAGTCTTCTCCACTTAAAACACCTGCTGTTCTCTCATGATTATAGTGCCATATCTGAGAGTACGTTCTCTAGGCTGGAGATCAGTGTCCCTCAGTTCACTTATGGCCAGTACTGAGTGCCCATCTAGTACTTCCACACAAACTACTTTCTTCCACACAGCTCTTCTTGTAGAAACTGTTCCACTCTCCAGTTCCTGTTTGTGCTGAGAAACCAGCTGTGAGCCATTTAGTGAAGACAGATCTTTGTATGTTTAAAGAGATCTTATGTTTGTCTTTAATTAGTAAGACCTGAAACAAAGCACACTTTAATTTTCAATGAACATAGGTAAAATACAGGGAATAAGCATTAATGGAGAGCTCAGATGTTAATGCCCTGGCATGCTTTTAATCTTTTCATTATACTTTACATCTCAAGTGTTTTTTAATAGGAAGTAAAATCCAGTTAATACACAGAAGTGGATTTCACAGATATACGTCAGAAAGATACTCTGAGCTCTGCTTCTCAAAATACAAAGCACACAGCTCATGAAGGTGTGGTAGAGGTTGACCAACTTCTTTGTTTTTAATTACAGTTAAACTCTAGTCCGTTAAAACAAACAAACAAAAAAGATAAAGGACAAATATAAGAGTGAAAAAGTACAAAAAACGTAATGCACAGGAAATAACATTTATTCTCATGGGACTCTAAAATAACTTTGGGGCCAGCCCTCTCAACTACTGCAAATCCCAGCAGTTAATACTGGCAGAGGTCTTTACCAGTGAATGCAGCCAGAGTGGTCAGGTACCTTCAAAGACCAATTCAACAAGTGGCTGGTGTCAAGGGAAGGATGTGACATTCCTCCTTTCATGTGCAGCCTTCTGAAATTGCAAGTTGAGACTGGGTGGTCCAACTTCAAAGGGAAACCTGATTCCTCATCCTCATCAGCTACTGCATTTTTTCAGTGCTTTGCAGAATGCTCAACTTCTCTTTATTAAAGAAGTTCAACTTTTAATATTTAAATGTTGGGGTTTGTTTTCTTTTCTTTTCTTTTTTTTTTTTTTTAATTTTGCTTCTGAAATTCAACTGGATTTGGCTGCCTTTAAACCAAGTATATTCTGTATCCTGTAAAGAAAAAGGACCTACAGTTCTCTGTAAATAGGTTGAACAATTGTCAAAGAAAATAGTATGATGCTTCAGGTTATTAGTGCTCCACTCCCAAATTGCTGGGTTTCTTTAAGCTTAAAAAAGAAAAATGGAGTTAAAAGGATGTGAAATACTGCAGATATTTTTTTTATCTGCCAAACCCACCTTTTAAATGTTACAAATATAAAAGAAACCACCCACTATTTTTCCCATATCATGGGTTAGTTTTGCAAAACTTGGACTGGTTTTTTTTTTGTTTTTCCCCCCAAGTATTTACATAGATTTTATACTCTAGGCAAACTTTACCCCAGTTTTCACTAAAAGAATTTAGCAGAATATGACAGTAATAGACAAAATACACAACATGTATCATAAAAATACTGTATTGGTAATTTCAGGTGCTGTTTATATCATAAATTTAACGTTCTAAATTGTATTTGGTTTATTTTGTCCTTTGAAAGATTTTTATGCAACCTGAAAACTCAGTTCAATGCTTACTTTGAAGTGATTTATGACAGATCTATTAAGAGAAGAGAAGTAAAAGACCAGTTGGCACACATAATTCAAGGCTTGGAGAAGTTGTCAGTACCCTTTATTCTAGCTTTCTGAAAACAAGGGCAGAAAACAAGACTGAAATGGCTGCATCACTCTTACAAATTGTTGGATTTATAGAGCATCTTTCAGAAGACACCCAGTCTCAATTAGATGACTTTGGCTGATGGAGCTGTTCCAGTCAGAAGTTATTCTTACAATTTAATAAAAGTTCTTTTAATATGCATTGTCTCTTTTCAGTTTTAACTTTGGTCAGATAACAGATGAAAGCAAATAACCCAGACACCTTCTGTTAGAGCAACTGTTTGAGTTTCTCTGTAGTCCATCATTGTAAGGCAGTTTTCCATACCCTGACTCAACTCTACACCTCTTCCAGTTTCTTCCCCCCCACATCATTTCTGTGGGCACTCAAGTAGCTGTTTAACTTTCCAGCTACTGCCTGGGTATTTCAAAGTTAAAGCATCCAGAGATCACAACTGCTTTAGCTATAAAGGTCACCTTGCAGATTCGATCTGTACAGCATTTCTGGTCCAGCAGCACTGAACACAAAAGTGCTACAGTCTCAATCTACTACTGATGCATTTCACTTCCAATGAATGTTACCATTACTGCATAGTTTTTTCCACTTTGAAAGTGTATCTATTTTTAAGCCCATGCTATTGCTGTAACTGCAAAATTACTTTGTATTAATCTTTTTCAGAGCAGTTACTATAAACGCATGACTTTTTCTGAACTACCTAAAGAAGGGAGTAACACTAAATTTAAAACATATCAGCATTTTAAGAAGGTAGCAGCAAGTGCTTAGTGTGGAAATACATAGTCTATGTAATCCAAAGAAGGTCTTTAACTAGAGGTCATGACAGAAAGAATGCTCTGAACTTTAGGATGAAAGAACTCGTTCAGTTTTCTCACCCCTTCTCCTGTGAACAATTTCCAGCATTTCTCAGTCTTAGTTCCTCACTTACACAGGAGGGATAAAAATATCACAATACTTATTACCCCACACGGCTCTAAGACCACATCACAGTGTCTTAGGTGCAAAAACAGTACAGTAACACTATAAATAAAATTTGACAAAAAATAAAACGTGGTACATCTAGTTAATAAGCCATATCAACTCAGAAGCTCTTACTATACAAGTGTGTTTTATTACTAACAAAGACAGTAATGACAAACCCCCTGAACACAAGTATAAAGTTACCCGTTTACAAACATGGCCACAAGGACAAAGGGCACTTCGTGTCCCTTGTCACAGGGGATTTTTCAAATCTTTCTCATTCTCCACGACAGCAAGAATTCTGTATATTTTTAATGGGCAAACTATAAAAGAAATGGCCTATCCTTTTGAAGGCAATTAAATTACAAATGCTAAAATGCAGATGCTCTACTGTAAAGGTAAATACATTGTTTTCACTACATGATGGATAAAAGAAATAACTTTGGTTTATCAGAACTGGAGTTCCTGTTGATTCAGCATTTACATGACCATTGTACCATGCAATTTTGCTTGATTGTTCAAAGCATCACCACAAATGCTGCCCAAACTAGAACACAGTAATTTCTCTGAATTGTATCAAAATATTGATAAATCTTACCAGTAATCAAATCATAGAACAGTTTAGACTAGAATGGACCCTAGAGATCATCTAATCCAACCTCCCTGCCATGGGCAGGGGCACCTCTCAACACCAGGTTGCTCAAGCCCTCATCCAACCTGCCCTTTAACACCTCCAGGGAGGGGGCATCCACCACCTCTCTGGGCAATCTGTTCCAGAGTCTCACCACCCTCATGCTGAAGAACTTCTTCCTAAGATCTAGTCTAAACCTGCTCTCCTTCAGTTTAAAACCATTTCCCCTTGTCCTGTCACTGCACACTCTTGTGAAAAGTCCCTCTCCAGCTTTCCTGTGCAAGATGCTGAACAGTCTCACAAAATGCATTGACATTTAGGTTTAGAAAAAAACAAAACCCTGGCTCCAAATTACCTCAAGTAATGTATCACACAGACTTTGCTGGAGCCAGGATTTCTTAATAGTCAAATGATTAAATTCTTACCCATGCCAGTAGTTACTTGCTCTTGAGAACCACTCTGCCATAAGAAATGCTACATGTATTAAGGTCTTTTTGATTTACAGAAAATATATTGCTGTAGCACATAGAAAATCAAGCTCTGTAGAAAAAGTATTAAGGTTTTCTTTTAAGTAAATATACTGTTTAACAAGCCTATATATTAATAACTCAACAGCTCATTTTCTGCAAGATATCTCTACAAAATTTTTAAAAATTAAGTTACTTGCATAGAAACAACGTGTGACGTGCACTTTGACTGCAGCTCAGTAACAGCCCTGAAGCGTATACTGCAGATGCTGTCCCCCCGCCGACGGGCTCTGCGGTGTCGGCGTCTTGGGCACGATGCACTGGGCCACCAGAGACCACAGATCCAATTCAGAGAGGAAGGGCTCTGGGAAGCGTCCTGCACCGACGGCACTACCCCTGGAGCAGGATGTGCAGATGTGTGACCAGCCCTGACCCAGCTGCAGAGTGCACAGTGCAGGCCACATACAAAGGTACAGCCTGCCTCACTCACAACTCAGGGATGTTGTCTGGCCACCACCGCTCCCTTGGCTTTAGTAACCACCACCTAACGGAACCAGGTTCCCTTTACCAAGTTTGTACAACACATACAAAACAGTAGTTCTAAATGATGACCTTATGCAGTCAATTATTTACAAAATTCACTTTTATGTACAAAATAAATCATTTTAATTCCACATTCCCTTTCATCTTCAGTGTACAAGCTACCGTAAAACAGTGCTATAATTGATACGTATGACAATTTAGAAAGTATTTATAAATTTTTGTATACTTAAGTGATACTGCTGTTTAAAACAGTAAAAAAAGACAAAAATTAACAAGTTTTGAAAAATATCACAGATGCAAATGGAACTTTTATGCCTTGAAAAATAACAGTGCTCTCTAAGCATTGTTTTAATGCAATTCATTACAAAAGTATTGGAAGTAACACTTGTTTTTCTCATCTTTTCCCTAAATGACTGCTAATCAATCCAGCCACGTGCTACAGAACTTCAGTTTCCGTTATTCCTGGATAGGATTAAATATAGCACATTACTGCTAGCTGTCCCCACAACAAAACTTATATTTTTTAAGTGCAAAGCAAGATATATGTGGGTTTTAATAAGGCACAGAATACCCATTATTTCCAGTGTAACACAGAATATATATGTAACAGTATTATACATTGAAACTGTTCATAGAAAATTTCAAACCTTCAAAGGTTTGAACTGTTTCCTGAATCCAACTCTCTTCTGCTGTCTGAAGCCGAGTAGACAAGTAGTGGTACAGAGGCTGACTGAGAGACATCAGGTATTTGGGAAAAGCTGCTTTGTAATGGAGGAGATTCAATAAAATCATTTTTAGGAGTTATTCTGCAAGCAATGAAAAATAAAACCGAGTCAATTTTAAGCATGGTGCATTACACTGGAAAAACGATACATTATAATGTAGTTGCTAAAAGTGTATCTTAAGCTACATTCTTTCCAAGAGAACTTAAGACAGTTCTGTATAGTTTTCCAAGCTTAGAGTCATCATTGTTCTTTTTCAGACTTGTCACCTCCCAAAACAATTGCACTGCAGTCACAGGTTTCTTGAGGGTCACTGTTGAACAACACAAGAATATTCTACAAGCTGAGGCTCCAGCACTCGCTACTTAAAAGGAAAAGTACTCTACAAAAATCTGAAATAACCCATGCTAAAGATACGTGGCCCTATGAAACAGTCTGTAAGAATTACAGTACTCTTGATAGCTACTGACATTTAATTGTATACTGAGAGTATAGTTAATTCTTCAGAGAGAAGAAATAAACACACTTATAAAAATAGCATTAATACAAAAACAAGCAAAAGATTGACTTAAGGAGCCTTACCTGCCTTCACCTGCTCTCTTTATACTCTCTGCCAAGCTACTCATATCACATGTGCTATCTGCTTTGTTTCTTTTTTCCACCTGATCCACGGTCAGTTTAGAACCAGATAACATTTGATCTCCACTGTTTTCACCTTCCTCAGCTCTTCGGGCTGATGGTCCATCTGCCTCAATCTCTTTCTCAGATGTCTCTGGAGAGGTTTTTATTTCTGCAGCAGTTTCTTGGCTCAAGTAATCATGGTTAGTGATTGCTACTGCAGAAGTTCCATGATTTGTTGTGCCACCCGTACTCGTCCCCATTGACTTTGAAATGACTTTCAGTCTGTGCGAAGTTGATTTGTAGTGCTTCTTTTTATGTTTAACCTTGGAATTGTGCCTCAAGAAAAATTCACATGATTCTTGCAGCACTCTTCGACTCTCACGGATTGGACTGAAAAAAAATATAGGCACGTAACTGGACGAAGACGATAACCTTAGGTATAATGTAATACAGCTTCAAACACAAAACTGTGAAAGAATAAGAAGCAAGGATGGAATCCAAGGTGGACATCAATGAACATGAGGAAAAATTATATGAGGAAAAAAAGGAAGAAAAAAAAATTATCATAATGGCTCCAAAGTAATTATGTCTGTGGAACAATTAAATAAAGCAGATTTCTGCCTTTCTTACTTCTGCAAGTAGGTCCAATGACTCCAGTAGATTAATTAGCTAAGAGAAAAAAGCAGCATTAGCTCATAAGCAACTGTATTACCAAATGAACTTTCTGTAAACCTTGTTCAAGTGGAAAAAAAGTAAACATTATGAAATTGACTTCTGTATTTTTAGGTTCTTATAGCTGAAAGCAGTTAACAACTGGAACACAAGAAAAATTATGCAGGAAATGGAGAAAGAGGGGAGAGGGAAAGGAAGCTATAAGCTCACCAACAAGGAATGTAGATGTAAAAAAAAAGGATCCTAAGGACTCCTGCCTTGGGAAATCCAAAGAAGTAAAACTATGAGTAAGACAGATAATCTAAAAAGAAATTATCAAGGAATCTGAAGGAACAGAAAAAAATGACAGCTACAAGAAATGGAGATGACATTTACCATCTGTTTAGATCCAGATATAAATTTTCTAAAATTAAGTAATAAAACTGAATTCTGTTTTAGCAAAAAAGGAAGAGCAGATTAATACAATAAAAGTGATACTAAGTAGGGTTCAATGAAAATTAATTTTAAAATAAGACAAGCCTGACAGAGGAGAAAAGCAGAGAATGCTGTTATTGTATGAGAGTAAACACAGCTAAGTACTGTGCCAAATAAAGTAGTCAGAACATGTGAAAGGATCTGAATTGATGGCTGAAATTATCTTCCCCCATTTGGCTGGAAACCAGAGACATATTAGCCAATGCTAATGCAACAATGTATCTTCTGCTCTATGAAAAAGAACAAATCCCAAGGGGAAAATATTTTCTGTCTTCTGAACATTGTCAAAAAGTCACTGTATATGTAAAACTTCCACAGACTCCAATGGAATTTTGCTGATGACCATATGTGGCATCTGCAATCCAAAGGAGAAAGGGTCTAAGGACATTTTAATTACCTGAGCTATATTTAAAGAAACATGTCTGAAATCCAACTTATGTTAAAGCATACACTTTAAAAATCAGGAATAAAGAGATGGTTCTTACTCTCTTTTGCGGTTTCTGTTGAAGAAACTGGCCCATTCGGAGCAGGTCTTTTTACTTCCCACCCAGAAGACTGGAGATATGCCAACAATTAACGTCAGCAAATATTTCATCAGAAACAAAAATATTTCTGGTCTTGCTAGTGCCTTTGCCTAGAAGACAACAAAGTTTAATAAACACAAAGAAGAAAACACACTTGTTGATTTGTTTTTTGAATGCAGAAAGACAAATTATGTAAAAGAGACTTTCTCCTCAGGGCTGCGGGTTCTTTGTTGAGGCTTGTGCTCCAGACAAGTGTTTGACATGTACAGTCAAGTCAGACCTCACTAACCTCTACAGCTGAATACACAGTGAGATTAGTCAGAAGGAAAGATTTTTTCTTTTAAATTGCAAGGAAAGAAAATTTGGGGGATAACAGGTAATTCTTCTGGGACAGTTTGTGTGTATAAAAATTATCCCTTCAACTTAAAACAAACAGGAAGTGGAAGTGATGGGGGTTAATCTGATTAGACAACATCTTCAAGGAGCCACAGGGAACTACATAGGAGTCGTCTGTTTATTGCAAAATTAATCCACCCGTTTGCAAAACAGGATCATAGGAGCTGAGACATTTACCTCAGTAGGAGATTATTATCTTCTGCTCCCATGCTGCAAATTTATCTTACCTGGCTTATCTGACAGTTCCATCTATGAAAGTCACTATTTTTGTTAGCCAGGTAACATTTGCTACTTAAACTGAAGTTTGTTTTGATTTGGTTTTGATGTGGCCAATGCAGTGAGAGTCTCCAAGCTAGCTCAGGTAAGCTGAGGCTGAGCACACCACTTTACACTGCTCCACAGTTTGCACCTACCCTTCACTACAGGGACAGATCCCACTGAGTGTGTCTTTGCCTACCATTCCCTGTTGCTATTTACTCTTTCCAATAGGTTAATTAAATGCTGAAAATACATCCTCCTTCTGTGTTATTATGCCAGGCTGTCACATTTAAGCACTACAAAACAAGTTAAGTGTTTTTTTTTAAAAAGCGTAAAAGTATTTTTTTCAATCTTCTATATTTTGTGTCATTTAGGTTGATACAGAGCTTAGAGCAAAACCCACTGAAGGCAAAGTGCATTTGTTAAGAACAGCAATGGAAGAAAAAAAATAATCAAGAAGTGTGCGAGCTGTGCTACTCTCATTTTATGCTGACTTCAATACAGAGGACACAGAGGTTGTCTAAGAATGTAGAAGGATCAAGCCTTCTCATGCCATAATGCCTGTTTATCTTCCTCTTTTTAATGATAGTTTATTGCAGTATAAACATAGATGATCTAAATGCAAAGCAATGAAAGATTACATGAGACACTTGCATTTCCCTCAGTGGTGGTGTCTTCCTTTATATTTGTTATTAAATGGAAAGAAAAATTTCTTGCAATTGCAGGGAGTTTTAGATACTTACAAGAGATTTAATCTGTAGAGAGTACTGAACATGGCAGATTTAATTTAAAAGCCTTTTCAAGAAAGATCTCTTTTAAGAGTCAAATATTAAATACAAACACCTCTGCAATTCAAAGTGTCATTGGGCTGTTTGTTTTTCTTTTTATTTGCTTTTTGATTGGTTGGGGTTTTTAAAGATTTCTTCACATAACTGAAAAATCACCCTGGAAATGACAGCTACCGTGGAAAAAACATACTGGAAATTTGTTTTGCAGTTTCAGGGGCTTCACACTTCTATGCTTTGAAGGAAAAAAAAAAAAAAGGAGGAGAGAGACATTTTTAAATCTATACTTGTATGTAACATTTTAAATCCAATTTAGACGCAATTTTCAAGAACCATTATTTCAACTGAAATTTCAGCTTCAGCTGAAACTGATGAAAATTCACCTTAGGTACTCTGATACTGTGGTAGGCATCTAAGCACTGAGCAGCTGCTTTTAGGAACACATGCTGTGAAAAATGATCCTCCCTCCAACACAATTTGTAACATGAAGCGCCCATATTGTAAAGATTATATATTCCCTTTAGAGCTGTGAGTTTGAACATAATTGCTGAGTGCCATCAATTTGATAAGCGAAAAATTTCAAAGAAGCATTATACCACCAATTTTGACTTAAAAAGCAAATAGTCACTGCGTGTTCTTGAGCCGATTACTTCATGTGAGAATAATTTACTAACTGCACAGCAGGTATGGCGATGCATAAGGGTTTCTGGTAATTAATTTTCCAGTATTATTTACAAAGGACACTGTTACTTGCCTGGTAAGGACAAGGAATATGGTACTGGTCACAGTGGTCAAATACCCAAGTCGTTTCCCAGACTTTCCGGTTCACCAGTTCATAGACATAACATCCAAGAAGTGATACAAGTGGCACCAAGTACAACCCACTAAAAACTCCAATTCGGATCATGAATTTCTTTAGCTTCTCCTGGTTTCTGCCATCATGCTGTATGACTTGCCGCACATGATTTAAAGAAATAATACCAGCTAAAAGAAGAGAGAGACCAAAAAAAACACAAAGGCATAACGGCAAAAGCACGAAGTACAGAGAGGCATCCAGGTCATAGAGACCCACGAAGCAAACTCCACTGATATTGTCTCCCTCAACCTTGTTCATTGCAAGGAGCATAACAGTTAGAAACCCAGGTATTCCCCAGGCAACTGTGTGGAACCACATGGCCTTCTGTGCAATAGCTTCACAGCTCCATTTTCTTCCTGCTGCAAGGAACCAAGTGATTGTAAGAATCACCCACCATATAGTTCCTGCCATAGTGAAAAAATACAAAGCCATGAAAAGAACAGTACAGGCTTTGTTTTGGGAGCCAAGAACAACTGTTTCTCCAATTTCTAACTTATCATTGGCCTCGTTACAGGCCGTTCTGTTCCCAAGTAAAAACCCAATAAAATACATTAGAGAAACTATGCTGTAACAGACAGAGTAATATATGATGGGCCTCTCTGGGTACCGAAACCGTTTAACATCAATTAGGAAAGTCAGGAATGTGAAAAGTGTTGCGCACAGACAAAAAATGGAAACTATTCCAATGAAGCTTTTCGCAACATCCAATTCATAATTTTTGAAGTACATATTGGGACATGGGGGTGCACACTGATCAATTCCTAGAAACTTGTAGCCTTGTCCATTGGTAGTGTGTAGGTGTCGTGGACACCAGAATCCATAATCCCTTCGGGTCTGGCCCTGGGTCTTCCAAGTTCCGTGTACGTTTGTGGTTACAGCAGCAGTGGCAGGAACAGCCTCGTCACAATCGACAAGTCTGCATAAACAAACAGAAGAGGAAATACCTTAATACCCTTCATGCTCAACAACGGTTATTTCTTAGAAAAACAAACAAACAAACAATCTCATTCTAAGCAGTTAAATTTTGTAAATAATGCAAAATGTGCATTATACGAAAAAAATCACATGGGCATTTTAAAAACAGATGTCAAATACCATCAGTTTATAAAACTATTCAAACACAGCTATTTAATTGCTGTTCTCTAGCCGTTTTCTTTCTTATGAACCACTACTCAAATTGCAATTGTTCTTTTAGAGTCTTAAATTCTACTAAACTTTTACTTATGTACAGAAAAATATTTACAGTAGTTTGTTTAAAAATCTGGATAAAAGTAGATTGTTGGAGACACCAAATGATTTTGGCAAAATGCAAGCTCAAATCACGGAAAAAACAAAGGTTGACAATATCTGAAATTAACTGATGACTAGTATTTCACATATTCTACCTTGGATTTTCAACTCAGTCTGGGTCAAATATGAAAAGATCACACCTCACCACATGTCAACATAATACCCCACCTGGTACATTCCAGCTCTTCAGGCCATATGATTCCAAAAGTGTCCATCAGGTGCTTACAGTCAGAATACACTTTCTCACAGAGGCTTCGGCAAGGCTGAACCACGTGAACTTGCTCCAGGCAGGCAGGGACAAAGGCTTTGCACAGAAACGTGTGGACGTCTGGTGAACAGTGAAGATTCATAAGTGTAAGAAAAGGCTATGGGAAAGAAAAAGGCCTCAGTCAGTAATTTTAAAAAGCGAGTTCTAGGCATCAAAACTAACTTTCATCACTATGGCTTACATGTGTTCCCCTAGGGGTTTGAAAAAGACACTAGAAAATAGTGTTTGTTCAGCAGCTGTGAAGGAGCAAAACCTGACGGCCTGAGCCGTGAGAGGCTCCATTACCACTTCCAGACCAGCCCCTACCTCTGGATCTTGGCCAATCTGCAGCTATTCAAAATTCATTTTTCTTCTTTGACAATATTAGAAATCTGAAAGCTATTATATAAGCCAAAGATTTTTAAAAAACAGGGTAAAACATTAAGTTCCTATGTACACCAGTCAGCCTCCAAGTGCATGCCCTGAGATTTTTAAGGCTCTGTCTCTCCCTGTAGAAATCATATTGTCAGTCCTAAGTGGTGTGTTGCACTCATCACCTTCTCTCATACTAGAGAGGTTTGGGGTTTTTTTTGGTCAATGAGGTCCAAATCTTATTATTCCTCATTTCTGAAACACTGCCTCTCAAAATCTCAACATAACAGACTATTTATCTACCTTTATTACTGAGCACCAGGAGGTGAGTAACTGATGACTGGGAGTAACACAAGCCAATTTAAACATCATTCTGAGGTAACTAACCCATGGCTGAGGATGAAACTCTTCTGCAGGATCATGTCAGTCCAAGTCCTTTTTTAAGAAAGGACTTTTGATTAAATGCTTCTTGTATTTCAGGAAAAAGGAATCTCTGTATCACATGTAAATAGTCAAATTCATGCATCGGGAAAGCTGAAACAATATTTAACACGCTTTAAAATGTGCTGATAAACAGAGATGCTCCATTAATTTTTCAAAGTAGGCAAAACCTGCCTGGATACGATCCTGTGCAACCTGCTCTTGGTGAACCTGCTTTAGCAGGGGGGATGAACCAGACTGTTCCCTTCCAACCCCTTCCATTCTGTGACTCTTATGAAAGGTTTTTAATAAGATTTTTAGTCAGTGATAATTTTATTTAATTCTTTGTCATTAACAGCTATGTCTCAAATATTTAGCCAATGACTGGTAACAGAAGGATTGAATGGCGAGTCCAGAATAGCATCCTTACTTTTGCCAGCTTTTAAGTAAAGCAAATGCATACACATCCACACCCAAAAGATCAAGTCTTACTGCTGAGTGTGCAGCTTAGAAGAAAGGCCATTGACACAGAAGTTTTCCCCTTCAAAATGGAATCTCTACAAATCCTCAAGAGACCTTTGTAATAAACAGGAATATGTGGGGAGGGGAGAAGGGAGAAGGTAAGGCAGAGCAAGGATAACATAAGAACATCCTGTGGAATAAAACACCACAACCACGTTGGTGGCACTCCCCTCCAGAGCACTCCAGCTGTGGGCTGCACCCGCAGATGCCATTACAGGGCAGACAGCAGCATGACCCCCCTCTAGGTGTCTGCTCTGGAGCTGCCTTTGCAGCAATCCAAGCCTTCCGCATTTTATGACAAGGACAGAGTCTAACTCTGGCATAATATGCTACATTTCCATAAAGTGGATTATTTCCTAAATGCTAGGTGGCTTCAGATGGAAAAAAAAAAATAGTCAGGAGTTAACCCTAAATGAATTAAATTCTCTTTGCGTAATTATGATGCTACTTTTATTTTTGATTAAATTTTATTTGCTCCAATGGTTAATTTATGTTAGCTCTGTTCTTCCTGGTACTTAGGATAAAATAAAGAAAATAGGCTGGGTAATCACATACAACTCCCATAGACAATGAGTTTATTTTTGAAATTAAGTCCTGTAGAGATTTGTCTTGACTCACATATTCTTCCTTTTTGTCATCCACAGTTCATCTCAGTTGATAAAAAATAAAATTACTTTTCTAGAGCAAGTTTTGGGATACCGGTCAAGAACTTTTGCAGACTTAGGTAAAACAGTAATATTTTCTCTAGGAAGCAAGAATTGGAAAAAAAAAAAAATCCTATCTATGAAACCAACTTTATCTACAGGTATATTTTACTAGCTATTTTGACAAGCAACTAACAATTTTTAAACAACATTTGTCAACTTAGCTAATATATTGTAAACTTGCTCCCTTGATACTCTTCTAGGGGACTTTCTGTTATACAGAGATATTTAAAAGCTAAAATATCCCAAGAATCACTACACAACAATACTGTGTATTAGTAGTGACAAGAGAAAATTAAATGTTTGCATGAGTTCTACTACAGCACGTTGTTGGTGTTGTTTAAAGAACAAATTTTAACTAAATGCAAAACTGCCTTAACAGATAAATACAAAAATGCAAAATTTGAGGAAGAAAGCTATGCTCCACCTGCAATATATTCAGAGTAGAAACCCAAGGACTTGGCTACCAGGATTAATTTTTCTTACAGTTCAGTAATCTTACAGTATTTCTTTCAGCTTGCTAAAAATACTTACCTTTTGACACCTGAAAGCATGAACACAAGTTGAAAGCACTAAGTTTGATGTTCTGAAAACACAAGCAGACCTTCTGAGTCAGACCAAACATGTATTTAACTGGCTGCCCCATTCTCACTCCAGCTGGCAGGAAAGCTGCTGTAAGATGGCAAACTGAAATCCCTCCCAGCTCCCTGAAAGCCATTAGAAACCAGATGCAAGTGGTAACACCACCACTGCATTGAAAAGACCTTGCTACCTTGAGCCCATCTAATCCCTTCTTCAGGGATTTATGCTTTTATCTTTTGTCAAATACTACAGCAGTAAGGTATATTGCATAGTTTAATCAGGCACTACTTAGAAAACACTGCATTTTATTTGTTTATTGCACCTCCTGGTTTTGCAGCCTAGTTTGTGTTTTGACAAACAGCTAACACGTTAGTCTCTACTTTTTCCATCTCATTTTGCCATCCTGCTATCCTTTACATATTACATTAGGATATTAACTTAATGATGTCTTAGATTTTGATTTCTATTCCTTTCATAGTATACTTTGCCTTCTAGTTGCCTTGTCTACGTTTGAACACTGACCTCACATTTACAGAGTGATAAGAAATACCCATTCCTGAGTGAAAGTAACTACTATGATACCATGCCCACCTACTTGCATGGATAGTGGGGGTTGTTTTTCCCCATATTCATTACTCTTCATTTACCAACTCTGAAACTAACCTACCATTTTACTGTCAAATTGCATCTACCACAAGACCTTTCTGCAACTCTTTAGTCAATTTTCTCAGCAAATTCACTACCCATCCCTCTTCTAGGTCATTTATAAACTAGCTGTGTATCAGAGGCTTCACTACAGATGACTATTGGAAAATAGTCATTTATTTGGTATAGGACAAAACTGTCAGCTAATAATTTCATACTTTTTATTGTGGAAAAAAAACCCCAAAACATTTATTTATTCCTACTTTTCTTCTTGTTCTTTATGCAGGCACTGGAAAACAAAGTCCCTACTGGGTCACCAGCGTAGTTTCTTAAAAAAAAAAAAAAAAAAAAGGTTATGAATATATCAAAGCCTTTTTGAAAATTGAAGTATAATATATTGGCCTAATCACTCCTTTCAAGAAATGTATCAAGTCCCTCAAAAAACTCCAATAGATTTTACAGGCAAGGAGTTGTCTCAATTCTTTCAACCAAAAAAAACCACCCTGTAAAATATAAAGCTTTGCCTCGACCACACAAACTGGATTTGTAAAATGCAGATTTATTTTCAGAAACAGCCTACTTTTACAGTTTAAGAACAGCAGAAGAGGTAGTGAGTTGCGCCTGGAACTCTGCTAACAATTAGGTATCTTTAAATGTGGGCTTCACTTCCAACTAGCCAATTTGGAAACATCTCATTACAGAAAATAATAGGTCTGCATTTCCTGACAAATCATAAAAGCAAAATCTTACTAAAAATAAAGCATTTGCAGCTGCAAATAAACCAGCTGCATGGCCTGTAAGCAAAAAGTGTAAAGCAGAGATCACAAGCTCACTGACAGCAAGAACCAGTTGCTTCAAGGGTGCATTATGTGCACCATGGGTGCCCCAAGCATCAACCATTTTTCACCCAGGCAGTTAGCTAAGTAACCTGCATCTACTGATGTCTCAAGTGGGTGGCACAATCACAGGAAATAGGCTCTTCCAGGAAATAAATGCACTTGGCATTTCTAGCCTTAGCAATCACTGCCCTGTCACAAGAAGACTAAAATCTGCAGATTTGGTGAGAGCAGTGCTAAAAACAGAGTGAAACCAGACTCTTTTAACCAAGAATGGAGCCTCACAAAGCAAGTATAAGTCCTAAAATATAAATTCTCACCTTCCTGCCCATGGGAAGCAAAACCCAGTGAATATAAGGCGAACTAGAATACACTAACAATTTACAAAATAAAACCAAACCCAAATACCCAACAAACTAGCAGGGGGGTTGGACTCGATCTCTGGAGGTCCCTTCCAACCCATAACATTCTGTGATTCTGTGACTGTAAAGTCAAAGTAGCCTGTAGCAACAGGACAGGTACTGGCTCAAGCAATAGCAGTGAAGAACCAAGGACTGTGGGGCACAAACTTCCCACTGCACTGTCAGCACAGAGTAGAAGAGGGGCACGCACCCCACACAGAAGCCTCACAGTGTAAAGCAGTCTGAGCTGAACCCCACGAGGCAACCACGTACCCACTGTGGGCTGTGAATACAGCCAAATAATCAAAGGGAGCAGCACATCACTAGGCAGTGAGAGGAGTATCCTTTGCACTGCACAACTTACTTAGTAAATCCTAGATTCTTTAGGAAGTACATCTGTCCTATTTTCTCCAGAGACAAAGCCAAACTCTCTCAGAAATCCTTATGGTGTGGTCCTACAAACAATAACACAACTGAGATGACCGAGAACAAGTGGTACTGAGTACAGAATAAAAGGCTAGGTGCAATATACTCTACACACAAGTAAATTGCAACCTACAACTGTATGTGAATCTTGTGCTCAGCGTGCTTCTCTGTTTTGTGCTTAGCAGGCTTACAAGTGCAAGACACAACAGA